TTGGCTCCAGGCAGGTCTCCCTCATGCATGAGTAACACGAAGAACTTTGCCTACTTGTGTCTTGCTTTTTGCTGTAAATTGTCTTGAACGTTCCAGCGAATAGGTTTATGCTACAAACCTATCAATGATTCTTCTTTTTTTTGCTTTGGAGCAAATGAAGGAAAAGAAATGAAGATTATCATTACTTAAGAAGGTGATTTTCCAACCCAACATAACAAAATGCTGTTATTTATTTAGCAAAAACTAAGCCAAGATGCAGAAGCAGTATGTGGAAAAACTAAGTACAATCTATGACGCAAAAACCAGTAGTATCACCTTCAGCAGTGATAACTTGAAGTCAATCTTTTCTGTATGACTTTTGATGAATTTTGGCCCGCTCTTCTTCACAGTCCGAACTTTAACTGAGTCATTGCATGACTTTGCTTCTTTTCTCTTTCAGCTGTTCTTGGGATCATCGTCCTGTTGCAGGACCCAATTCTGACCCAAGCTTGTTAGACTGACGGCCCCACATTTGAATACTTATATACAGAGGAGTTCATGGTCGACTCAAAGACTGCACGGTGCCGAGGTCCTGTGGCTGCAAAACCCCAAATCATCCCCCCCACACCACCGTGCTTCGCAGCTGGTATGAGGTGTTTGTGCTGGAATGCTGGGTTTGGTTTTCCCCAAACATAGTGCTGTACATTATGGGCTCATCTGTTCAAAGGACATTGTTTCAGAAGTCTCATGATTTTTTCAGATGAAACTTTGCAAACCTAAGCTGTGCTATCATGTCCTTTATAGAGAGGACAAGCTTTTTTGCAGTAGCTGCCATTCCAAACTCAGTGACTTGTTCTTTTTAAAATATTGTACTGTCATGAACTTTAACATTTAACCTCCTAACCCAGGCCTGCAGAGTCCAAGATGGACCTCTTGGGTTTTAAACATTGCACAGTGTGACCTCAGGGTGAATTTGCTGGAACAAGCTGGAGTCTTGGATGTTTTCCACTTGTGAATAATCTTTCTCAATGCACAGTGATGGGCTTGGAATTGTTTTGGAAATGACCTTATAACCACAGCAACAATCACTTTTGAGATCATTGCTGATGTCCTCCTCTGTGTTATGTTAACAGACAGCAGACCAACAATTAAAACTACTTCTGCTTTTACAGATTTGCTGATGATAACTTAATCAGGTGTATTTGACTTAGCATAATAACGGCTACTTACCCTCTTAATTCCTATGCAAACAGTGAGGGTGAACTTAGTTTTTCACACACTTTCTGCATTTTGGCTCAATACACCATGCCATTATTTACTAAGTCATGCCTCGTTTCAGAACTCAGTAAAGGTCAGATGATTTTTATTATATTTGGAGATGTAAACGTCCAAGGAGTTGCACCAAGAAACTACAACAGGGAAGCGACAAGATAATCCAGAAAAATTCTCATCTCCTAAATATAGACCTGTGACTGCTAAGTGTGGTCACAGTGAATCTTCACACGAGACTTTCTGATCTCGAGAAGTCAACAACAAACGCCCTCCAAAAATACACACTGCGTCACATCTCAAAATACACACACGCAAGCTACAATTAAATTTATTACAGTTAAACATTTTCAGCTCAAACATAAACCAACATGCATGGCACATTTGAAATATTCAAGACATTTAAAGCTGAATAATTTCTACATGGAACCGCTTTCTATCTGGTAACAACAAACAAACTGCCAGAGAGAAAAAGTAAGTATGGCTGGCGCTGTGGCCGATATAGCATGCTCCGGTGCATGTGCCTTCACTGTGATATGGGCTTGGCGTGGCACGGCAGTGAGGATAAGAACAGACTCGACACAAACAAGGCACTGAGTCTATTTACAGCTGGTCTCCCAGCACAGCAGTCAGAAATACACTGTGACTCTGACATAAGACTGCCTGAAGGGTTTAGAGGCCGAAGAGCTCAAGTTGTGAATCACACCTTAACAGACCGGTTTGACAATCTCGAACTTTCTCTGCAACATAAAATGTAACTTCATGTGAATACACTGAATAAGCTTTGTGAGACTCAACTGTTACTGGACCCTGTCTTTTCTTGCATTGTGAACCAGTTTTGCAGTTTTACACATTTAAAAGTAGGCAAAAATATAGCACAAAAAACTAAACCAAATAAAACAAAACACACCTGGCAAGCATAAATGTGCACTTTTATATCATCTTGGCTGAATTTAATCAGATTTATGGAGCTCACAGCATTAAAAAAAGGAAACATGTCAAGAATTTAACACCAGTGTTCTTGGATAAAAAGTAGCTCTACTGAAAACAGCCCAAATCTAAATCTGTGACTTGTTTGTTGACGTTTTAACTATACTGTGACGGATCAGAAATGTCAAACATCTATAATGAAACTGCAGAATCTGCAGTGCTAAAAGCCATCAGAGGCAAGTGAACAAATATATTTTTTGATCATCTGTCAAAAAAGCCAATCTTTTCACTTGGAAACAACAAATTATTCAACTGTGTGAAGCTGGATCTGAGAAGTATGACTCTTCCCTGAGGGCAGAGAAGATTTGATTGGCAAGATTTCAGGTGGTTACATAATGCTGCTGATATCAAATCCTTTCCTGACAAGCTAGACATTATAATAAGGTGCAGTGGACCCTTCTATGCCTCTCAAGACTCATCTCTCTGGTGTGCTGTTGTCCAATTTTACAGAACACTTAAGAGATTTAATGCAGACGAATGAAACCGTCTCTTGTGAGACACTGAAATCCTGGTCACGGCTTGCAGAAAAGTTAAATCTAATCTCTTGTGCGTTTTCTCACTCAGTTGAGAAAATAAACAACCTCTTAACTTGTCTAAATGAGACACGCTAGATAAAGAAGTCCCCTGAGGACAGGTGCGAGGGCACTTAAAAAAAAGGTTTAGTCATTTGTGACTCAGCGGCTGTCGTCACTGGTGTGCCTTTGCCCAGACAAGCTTTGCTAGACACACAAAACACAGACGTATGATGAACAAATACCCAAGAAATGCATTGAGCTTAATGTTTTTTTTTTAAAGAAAACATTCTGCGTTTAACTCAGATTAATCAGCTAATGCCAAGACAACGGTTTGAAAACAACCCAAGTAGGGTTTGTGCAATCTTTACCGTTTCCTATATTTAAGACACAAAATAAAGAATTTAACTTAAAGTAATAAAACAACATTTTTAAAAATGCAGTTTTGATTGAAAATGTATATATTTACACATGCAAGTGTTTTCATTGTTGTTCTTTCATTAAAGTTACTTCTGATGGGTCATATTCTGTGAGCTCTCATTCCAGCTTCTGATCTCTACATCTGGCAGGTGTGAGCAAAAAGAGAAAAAGGCAAAAGAAAAAAAGGCCAGCAGTGAGGGCAGAGAAAAGAAAAACAGGCAGTCAGGTTTGTGAGAGCAGATGAGTGTGTAAGCTGAGAGCTGCAGGGGGACCAGCGCTGGAGTCCAACAGAGGATCTGATATCTGAGACTATGGAACAACAGGACACACAACACCAGCCGGGCTGAAGGCGCTGCTGAACGGCTCGACCCCGATGTCGCTGCTGACAGCAGCAAGGAAGTCATTATCAAAATGGTTTACTGAAGGAGTCTGCTCGCTTCAGTGTCCGAAGTCTTGTAAAACTATCTTTATTTCTTTTTTAAAAAGAGAAATTAAATGATTTAGCGACTCCTCCCACAGTGTGCCACAGAGCAAGAACAATGTATGATCGCCTATTGAGTATATACATATACTGCAGTCTGTATGTATGCTAGGAAAGTCAGAAATCACTGCAGCAAAAGGAGCAAATATGTCTTAATTAACAGTGTTTTACTGGGTCAGAGTCAGGATGACTGCAAATATAAGCAAAACTGGTCAGCGTTATCAGATCTCTGTGCATTTCTCTGTAAAAGATGATCAGTTTGCTCTTCTGTACTTGCTAAACTCAAAAAATCATGGACAAGATGCGTCGTTATCAATAAAAGCAAGTAAAGAAATAAAATGAAGGGAACTACACTCATTTGTGTTATTAACATTTACATTACTAATTCTAAACTACAAAATTTAGAATAGATGTCAAGTGATGAGAGTAGAATTAGAGTAAAGTGAATGAAACTGCATTTCCCAAGTGCAGTAAAAGCAGACTGCTTTTCATTATCGAGCATGTAAGAGCTTGCAAAATGTGTGGGAGATTATTCAAAGAATAGAATAAAGCAAAGACTTTATAAAGAGTCTTACAGAAAAGGAGGTCCACCTGACAGCTCATAATATTCAGCATTATAATCAGCTATGCCTCAGCTATGGTTTAAAGACCATAGCTGAGGCACACAAGTATAAAATATCAATACAATTTAATATGCACAGACGATGCCTTAATCAGACACTTCTACAATGCAAAGGGAAAGCATGATTGATGTCTATAAAATGCAAATTGCAACATAGTCCCAATCATTACAATAATAGTAATCACACTGGGCAAAAATTAGTCTTCTTTATAGGCTACAAGGTAGTGCAAAGATAATATGAATCTTTAAAAAGTGTCATTTAGAGAAATAAAAGGAAAAAATTAATGTAATGGCTTATAAAAGGTCAAAGCCTTTTCTTCTTTTTCTTTTTTTTAACTAAGACGCTATGAAAAGCAGACTTGTAAAACTAGTATTAGTAAGAGTGCATAAAAAGGTTAATGGTGCTATCAAAGCATAGTTTCAGAGGTAGTCATAAGTCAAAATGTCATATTAAATATATGTTTTTCATTTTAATATTATAGTTATATACTTAAAAACAAAAGCACAGCAATAGTGTGAAACCAAACACACACAAAAAATGCAGATTTTAAAATGCAGCGCCTTACCTTTTTCTGGTACCACACCACAGCATCTTTTACTTTGGAAGCCATTTACATTTCCCTCCTCACCGCCTAGGGCATCTTAGACTGAAAACACACAGCGAGAGAGAGAAGAGAGCGCAGCGTGAGTGACTGAGTACTGGGGAGAGGGAGAGGAGGACTGAGGTCTATACCTGGTAGGCAGGTGTGTCATGACAAATAAAAGAGGGAGGGGACTAAACACACGCCTCCCACAATCAATTGTTAAAGCGAATCTCACTGACACGTCTAATAGAACCAGGTCACTCTTAAAAAGCAGTTTTATAATCTCAGTGAGGCTTTTAAGAGGATAAATAAGGGATGTACAGTGATGTGATGGATTCTCCTTGTACACAAATCTGAACATGAAGTCTAACCTGTACTCCAATCAATGTTAAACGTGTCCAAACATAAGACATGTACGCACTGAACAACACACCTTAGTAATAAGCCTAGTCACTTTTTTTTTTTTTAATGTTGTTTCCCTTGACACCCATCTTACAATACAAACAAACACTCTTGTTTAGAGCTGGTTCCTTTTAAATCCTCACCTGAAACCCCTTCACCACACACACACACACAGACACACAAAAACAAGACTTCTGTGGAAGCGGTTTGGTTGTGGCTGTCTGATTTCTTGCAGTGGTTTGGGTGTGTATGAATGGAAAAATAGGCGCAAACACCCATTACACACACCCATATGCACAGGCATGCAATCCAGTGGACACTTATGTCACCTTAACGCAATGCAAGCACACATGAATACACACCGATGGTTACAAAATGTCAACATGTCATCAAGTTGGATTTATGAACGTGCTTGTCATTAATGTGCGTGTGAGTATTTGGACAAAGACACATCTTTGGTGTGGTTAACTTTGCCTGAACACAGCACCACACTGAATTTGAAATGAGTTTAAAGTCTTACTGGATACAGTGTGATGATTATTCTGTGCCCAGTAGAGTCAAAGCAAGTTGATAAAGCTTTACCCTTATGCGTCAGGGTGTTCCCTTCAGTTTC